GAAGCAGCAGGAAATGAGTTTTACCGAAGCGAGGGGGGCAGGGGGGGTTTCTGTCCCCAGACCCCAAACCAAGCGTGACCCACGAGTGGAGGTGGCAGATGGAAGGGGGGGGGTGAGGTGTCCAGGTGCCTGTGCCCCCCCCCGGCAGACTGAACACATTTCCAGGCCATCCGGGTGAAAAGGGGGGAAATCCCACCCCTAAATCCCAACGGGCTGAGGCAGCAGCCAGGAGGGGACAGGAGCTGAGAGGCCACCTACTCCTCTAGGGAAGAGATTGTCCTGGAAGACATGAAAGCACCTGAATTCCAGGTGGATCCACAGGGGAACCACGAGGGACTTGTCCCATCCACGGGTCACACACAAGGGGGGTGATCCCACCCCATGGGCACAGCCAGAGGGTGAGGGAAAGGAGAGGGGAGGCAGTGCTGGAAATAACCCCCCTGTGTTCAGCTTGGGAAGCCTGCAAGGAGACACCTCATCCCCCCACCCAAAGCTCATGAAAGGAGAGACCTTTCCCTGCCCTTTTCAAACCCAGGAACTCGGAGAGGGAGAAAAAAAGGTGAATTAAGAGATGAAACGCCAGAGCAGCAGGGTCACCAGCCCCCCCAGCCCGGCCACAGCCCCCCCCACTGCCAGCCGTGCCCAGAGGAAATGCAGGGAATCCTCCAGGTGGGAGTGCAGGCTGAGGACCTGCTGGTGGGTGCTCTCCCAGGCCCCAGAGTTGTCGATGACGTGAGTGGCCAGCGGGCGTTTCTGGTCCAGGGGCAGCTGGGAGGAGATGCGGGCCTGGGCCTGAGCCAGGGACAGCCCCTGGTCCCTCCTCATCAGCCTGGAGAGCTGCGTCTTGGGGTCACTGTGGGACAGGAGGGGACAGTGGGAAGGGGGTTTGGGGGGGAAGGTGCTTCCCCACCTTCCAGGGCACACGGGGGAACAGCCAGGGTGTGATGGGGATGCTCCCCGATTCATTCCCGATCCTGTGGATTGGTGGAGTCAGCCCCAAGCTGAGTGTTTTCAGCATTCCCAAAGCCTGGAATGCCAAGGCAGTGCCTCAAACCCTGCCCCAAAGTCTGCCTCAGCCAATGGAGCCCAGGGTGGGATGGCTCAAAACCAGAGATTTTTCCCCCCATGATGGTGCCGAGTGTTGGGGAGGGGTAAAGGTTGTTCCAAGTCCTGTCCAGCCTGTCCCTGGCAGTGCTGAAGGGCAGGTTGGATGGGCCTTGGAGCAACCTGGGCTGGTGGGAGGTGTCCCTGCCCATGCAGGGGGGTTGTGTCTAGATGATCTTTAAGGTGCCTTCCAGCCCAAACCATTCCATGCTTCTATGATTAAGACAGGCTGGGACAGTTGGGGTGTTCAGCCTGGAGAAGAGAAGGCTCCAGGGAGACCTTAGAGCAGCTTCCAGTGTCTGAAGGGGCTCCAGGAAAGCTGGGGAGGGACTTGGGACAAGGGCAGGGAGGGATGGGGTGAGAGGGAATGGATTAAAACTGGAAGAGGGGAGATTTAGGTTGGACATGAGGAGTAAATTCTTTGGTGTGAGGGTGGTGAGAGCCTGGCCCAGGTTGCCCAGGGAAGCTGTGGCTGCCCCATCCCTGGCAGTGTTGAAGGGCAGGTTGGATGGGGCTTGGAGCAGCCTGGGCTGGTGGGAGGTGTCCCTGCCCATGCAGGGGGTTGGATCTAGATGATCTTTAAGGTCCCTTCCAACCCAACCCATTCCATGGTTCTGTGATTCAATGGAAGGACCACATTGCTCCTCACACCTACAAGAAAGAGGTGGAGCATGGAAAGGCTTCACACCAGGGCTGGGGCTGAACCTGCAGGGAGTGGGAGGGACAGGAGGGGACAGTCCCCTCCAAACCCTAAGGGAGGTGGCTGGCAGTGTCCTGCTCCTTGGGGGGCACTTACCAATAAACCAAGACCGTGTATTTCATGAACTTGGTCAACCTGTTGGTCTCGAAGAGCAGGGGGATGTCCAGGATGACGTAGCGATAGCCTGCAGGGGTGACAACACCCCAAAAAAGGGAACAGCTTTACCTGGATTCCCAAAAAACCCCTCGTGCTGCAACCACAGCCACAGCTGCTTCAGCACAGCCAGGGAGAGCTCCCCAGCTCCAGGATTACACTGAGAGCAGAGCCTGCCTTCCCTCCTCCCTCTCAGAGGAAGTGGTTTTGTTCCAATCTCCAGAACAAAAAAAGAAACCACAGAGAAAAAAAAACAAAACAACAACCCCAAAAACCCAAAACAACCCTAACCTGGATGATCTGAGAGCAAAGGTGAAGCTGCAAAAATATAATGAGGAGCTGAAACAAGGAGCTGGATTGAGAGTGGCTGTGCCTTGCTGGTGAGAGCTGCAGTCGTTGCTGGTCTCTCTGCAGTGCCCACAGAGGAATTTGCTCTCCTCTCTTTCCCCTCTCCAAGGTTTCTCCAGGCTGTGGACATCTGAGCCAACATTTCCCAGCTCAGTTTTCTGCCCTTTATGGAAAGGTTGGGCTGAACAGTTCTGTTTTCCCCAGGGGAGTGAGGAAATCCTCGCAGGGCTGAGGCACAGGAGGTGCCTCCAGACACAGCCCCAGGGCCCCAAACCTCACCAAAAACTGGGCAAATGTGGAGCTGGTGGAGCAGAATTCGTGACCACCAACCACTGTCCCCCTGGACCCTGCAGCCCACCCCAGCATGTCCCTCTGCCCTTCTCCAAAGCCAACTCCCCCAGCAGACAGCAGCATTTGGGGATGTTGGGGTGCAAGGGTACAGGAAAGCTCTAAGCCAGCATCTCACTCCTGAGTGTGCCCCCCCAGTTTTGTCACCCCCAATTCTGCTGGTGTCCCCTCTTTACAACCCACCCCCCTCCCAGAGCTGGCCCTGGCAATAAAAGCCTTGACAAAGACATCATCAGCCAACACGCCACCATTTCAGCAGCATCTCCGCCCAGAGAGACTTCTGGCTGCCCTCGGGTTTGATCGATAAGAGCTTTCTGCACACAGCAGCCCTCAGAGACAGCAGCCAGCCATCCCAAATCATTAAATCCTGACTAATGAGGACAAAGCAGCTGGCTGAAGGCACAGGGCTCTCTCGCCGAGGGCCAGGACAGCACCCGCCTCCCCAGGTTCAAGACTCCAACTTCTGGCTCCCAGCTCTCCTGCCTGTTGCTTCCTCCCTTGTTTCCTCCTCCTCCTCCTCAGCCCGCAGCAGAGCACGGGTCTGTTCAGCTGTCACAGCTTTGAGATGCTCCACAAAACCAGACTGACTCTATTAAGACATCCTCCTGTCTACACCGAGACCTCCTCACCAGCTGCTGATCCTCCCTGGCGTTTGATCGGGCTGAGTTTGACAGCTGGGTTTGTTCTGTTTGTCAGGGGGGAGGGAAGGGGGGGCTTTGGAAGCCACAGTTCTCTGCCCCCTCCTCATCTCATCCTCACAAAAGGGCTCCACAGCTTCCAGACAGGCCCAGGGGGGGTGGGGACAGGGAAGGATGTTTGGCCATTTGGGAAGGTGTGACATTATCCAGCAAAGGAACCTCAGAAGAGGCCTCAAAAATGCTGCTCTCGGGCCCTGCAGATGTGCTTTGAACTCCAGGAGGAGGAGGTGGTGAAGGGCAGGAAGGAACACCCCAGATGCCACTGGTGGCACAGCACAAAGGCTGTCACTCCATGTCCCCTCCCTTTCTCCTTCCCTGTCCCTCTCCCCACGTTAAACCAAGGGCAGAGCGAGCAGGGAGGGCTCCAGCCCCAGGACACCAGGACCAGCCAGCACCTTACCCAGCACAAAGTACTTCAAGATCTGTTTCAGCATCACCTTCTGGATCTCCGGGTGGGTGATGGAGTTCAGCAGCAGCCTCTTCTCTGGCTGGGAGAAGATGATGTTCCCCAGAGCCTCCCGATCGATCTCCCCGTTCTCCAGGAGGACCCGGGTGCCGAAGGAACGGACGATCTCCTGATAGGCCTTCAAGGGGGGCTGCACCACTGAGGACATGAGACAGCCCGAGCTTAGAGCCAATTCCACAGCACAGCCACAGTGTCTGCAGCAGCAAGAGGCCTCCAATGAGTTTTGTTCATGATCTAACCCAGCTGCCTCTCCTGGGCAGGCAGAACATCTGCCAGCACGGCTGGAGCTGGAGCTGCTCAGCAGACACCTGCCCTTGGTGCAAAAAAACACCCCCTGCCAGCCCAAGGTCCCTTTGAGGGCAGCCACCAAGGAGGTGGGAGCAGCCTGCAGGCATTAATTCAGAGTCACGACCCTCCTGCTGCTGCTCAGGGCTGGAATCAGCATCAGGGTGGGGTGAGAGGACAGGCTGGCAGGCACCAGCCAAGGAACGGGGCTGAGCTGTTCCCACCAGCTCCAGGGTGAAGGGTCGAGCTGGGAGATCCCCAAGGGAGCAGGACCAGCATCAGGTTTGGTTTAGCTGAATAATGGATTGTTCCCCTCTGCTCTGCTGAGACCCCCCTGCAAGGCTGGGAACAGCTCTGGGGTCCCCAGTACAAGAAGGACGTGGAGCTGTTGGAGAGAGGCCAGAGGAGGCCCCAGAGATGATCGCAGGGCTGGAGCAGCTCTGGGACAGGCTGGGAGAGCTGGGGTGTTCAGCCTGGAGAAGAGAAGGCTCCAGGGAGACCTTAGAGCAGCTTCCAGGGCCTGAAGGGGCTCCAGGAAAGCTGGGGAGGGGCTTGGGACAAGGGCAGGGAGGGATGGGATGAGGGGGATGGATGAAAACTGGAAGAGGGAGATTGAGGTGAGACATGAGGAGGAAATTCTTTGCTGTGAGGGTGGTGAGAGCCTGGCCCAGGTGGCCCAGGGAAGCTGTGGCTGCCCCATCCCCGGCAGTGTTGAAGGGCAGGTTGGATGGGGCTTGGAGCAGCCTGGGCTGGGGGGAGGTGTCCCTGCCTGTGCAGGGGGTGGGACCTTGACTTTCAAGGTCCCTCCAACCCAACCCATTCCACAATTCTCTGCATCCAGCACTAGCTGAACCCAGCCTGGCTGCTGCACATCTGTTCCTGAGGTTTGTTTTTACTTCCTTTCACCTCAACCAGCAAATTCTGGGTGGGAATGAACACAGAAATCTTCTAAAAGATCAATCCCCAATTTGCAGGGACTCTGATGTTGCACAAACATAATTTTAAAGCCACCAAAAAAAACCCCAAAACAAACCACCACTAACAAGAAGGACACAGCAATAAAGCCATAATTAAGATCAAGCTGAGCCTGACAACAGAGGATGACAGACCCTATATAATTTCCTCTCCCAAATCCAGGAACGTTGCCACAGGTTGTAACCTCAGGCCAACATAATAAAAGTCTTTAAGACCAATCTCTTTGTCTCCTGGAATTTCACAAGGAGGCAGTTTCAGGATGGGAGAAAATCCATCTAGTAAATAAACACATATAAAAAAGGAACTGGAGGAAAATGAAGTGATTGGTAGAAAACAGACACTGAGTGTCTGTGGTGTTTTCCTACTGTCTCCCAGGGCTTTTAGCACCTCCAGCAAATTTTCCTGCACCTCGAAGGGAATTACAGTGCAATAAAATGTTAAGAGCAGCACAGCTTGGAGTGGCTACAGGGCGAGTTCTTCACCAAACAGAAGCACAAGCCCTTCAGCACAGCCCTCCTGCATCCCAAACCAGCCTCAGGCATCCCAAACCAGCCCTGCCCTGAGCCAGGAATCCCACTGGCTGCCACAGATTAACATCTCACCCAGGGAATCATGGAATGGTTTTAGTTGGAAGGGACCTTAAAGATCATCCAGTCCCACCCCTGCATGGGCAGGGACACCTCCCACCAGCCCAGGCTGCTCCAAGCCCCATCCAACCTGCCCTTCAACACTGCCAGGGATGGGGCAGCCACAGCTTCCCTGGGCAACCTGGGCCAGGCTCTCACCACCCTCACAGCAAAGAATTTCCTCCTCATGTCTCACCTCAATCTCCCTCTTCCAGTTTTCATCCATCCCCCTCATCCCATCCCTCCCTGCCCTTGTCCCAAATCCCTCCCCAGCTTTCCTGGAGCCCCTTCAGGCACTGGAAGCTGCTCTAAGGTCCCCCTGGAGCCTTCTCTTCTCCAGGCTGAACACCCCAACTCTCCCAGCCTGGCTTCAGAGCAGAGCTGCTCCAGCCCTTGGATCATCTCTGTGGCCTCCTCTGGACTCTCTCCAGGAGCTCCATGTCCTTATGTCCCATTTTCCTAAAACATGTCTGAAAACCTTGCTGTCTATTACATATTAAACACTAAAAAAGGACCAGTGATGCTGGAGGGATCAGGACCACATTGCAAGAAGGAACCACATTGATACACAAATGGTTCCTTCCAGAAGAGCAGGGGCTGCTCCAGTCCTGCTGAGGCAACAAATTTGGATTTCTGGGTCTTTTCCATAAGCAGGACAGCACATCTGCAGAGCAGCAAGAGGCAGGGGGGGCTGTGCAGAGGCACAGGCTGAATTCCCTCTGATCTGAATATTTGGAGCCTTTTTTGGGGGTTTTTTTTGGTCCACAAAATCACTGAATGCCTTCAATCTCTCAGTATTTTCATCCCTGGCAGTGTTGAAGGGCAGGTTGGATGGGGCTTGGAGCAGCCTGGGCTGGTGGGAGGTGTCCCTGCCCATGCAGGGGTGGGACTGGATGAGCTTTAAGGTCCCTCCAACCCAAACCAGTCCATGATTCTGTGATTTACAACCAATCAGCAGCCAGCAGAGGGAAATTCTCCTTCAGGAGTGTCAGTGACCCCACCTAAAGTGACCATATTTCAGGAGGGGTGTCCTGGGCCTTGGGGGGGGACACATCAGATCAGCCACTTTTATCAAGAACCACATTTATTTTGCCTGGAATTGGCTTTCCAGTCTGGGAAGGATTGAACTCCAGGAGAGGGACACCCAGGACTGGAACTCCCCGGGGTGTTTATTAGGATATTAACTTATTGTTTTTTCCTCATTAATCACAGATCCCAGCGCCAATCCCTCCTCCCCATCCCACCCCCCCCAAAACAGCTGCTCCACGCAGCCTGGGGAGTGGGAGGGAAACACTTCTGGAATGCACCCAGAGCACCCTCTGCTGTCTGCGCTTCCCACCATCCATCCCCACCGGCCGGGGAACCTCAGGGAGAAGAAAGACCGAGCGAGGATCTAAAACTCACCCTCCCTGGCAATGAGGTCGGCGTCGATGACAGCACAGCCCAGGTCCCGGAGCAGGGCCACCACCGTGCTCTTCCCTGATGCAATTCCACCCGAGAGTCCAACCAGGAACATGGTGCTGTGGAATGGAAAGCAGAGAGCTGGAACACCCTGCCAGGACGGGGCTGTTCTGCTTTTGTTGTGCACATCAAATATTTATCTCGAGCAGGCAACTTCATTCCAAGCTCATTTTCATCCCTTCTCAGGGTGTTACGGAGATTTTATGATGGTTTTGGCAGCCTCTGAGCTGGGTGCCCCTGTGGTACTGGCTGAAAAACAGCTTTGGGTTAAATGAGGCTTCCCTGGACCCTGCTCAGTCTGGCTGTGGAGCCTGAGCCAGCCCCAGGCTCCTCCAGCTGCTGCACCCGCCGCTCCCGCCCCCCCCTCCCCCCCCCGC